GGGAGGATTGAACTGAAAACTAATGAGCCGAACTTGGAATTACAAATCGGCAAATTCATTTGGCTGACAGCGTAGGGAAAATCAATCCTGATCCCACGACCCTTGGCGGCTTCGCCTCCAAAAATGCGTCATATCGGCCTACTGACCCCGTCATTGATATTTTAAAACTATCTTCCCTTTTTGGAAAATACATTTACATTTACAGCACACTTAGTCTAAATTTTAGTAGAAATGGGCCGGCTGTCAGTCCCTCCAAGTGCTCTTACGACATCTGTCCAATAGATGGTTAAAACAACAAAGAACTGGGTAAATTAGTAAGTTAACTTCACAATGGCTCTCTTTAGGGGTATTTCTCTCAAACTGCTTCATCTATTATCCCACGAGTTCATCTGACATCCCACGAATGCTGGTAGAGGTCTATTTATATCCAGACCCAAAGGCCAAAGTCTCATGTTTGGAAATAGTGAGCTTGTCAGCGACCAAAGGTTAAGAGATTGATTGGGTAAGGAAAAAAAGAAGGAAGGTCAAAGGCGTTTTGTTCTTGGCTGCCTTGCTGATACTTACAACCTTTGTTCAAAACGAGGTTGAGGCCTTTGTAGGGGTTTTACCTCCTGGAAGAAGAGAACTGTCGACAAAGGTTAGTATAGTAGGAAAAATTTAATTACTGAATTGTTTCGAATTGGACTGATCTTTTTCCTAGCAATTTTTAAGAATAACAAACTTTTAATTCTCGCTATTTTTCCCCTGAATTTCACAAACTGGATTATTTGGTCATGTCGACGCGTCCTGGGGGATCAACCAGCCTCTGTTACTCAAACGGACCTTCTCACAGGCTTTGCTAAGCTTCTTTTTTTTTTCTTCCGGGTATTACTTTCATAACACTTTGTGAGCGAATTTCGCCGTATTCGAATCAATAAGATTTCAAGGTCAAGGACTGCATTTTGAAAAATTTAGTCTGAAATTCCCAATCTGATTGAAGAAAACCAAGGAAATGCTAGAGGGTTTTGGAAAGCACTTAAAAAGACTCTACCATCGTCAAAGACCTCCACAAATATCTCTAGTCTACGAGTAGATGACGCAGTTGTCACCTCTGACGAGTCAATTGCTACTGCTTTGAACACCTTTGTAAGTATCGGCAGAAAACTTGCCGAAAAATTTCCGGACTTGTCGTTCT